GTGTGAGATTCAACGATTGATGAGAAGGGGAAAGAAGGACTTGTCGACTGCAAATGGCCTACAAGTCACACAGCTCGACCAGAGGTGAGGGGATAGTGTATGGTTTAAATAACTTCACGAGCGAGAATGACACCCTAGCGTAGAAGAAGCGTCTTGGTCGTCATGGATAGTCTGTGGCGGACTAAGAAGCAAACGCAAGTGACAAATCGTCCAGGGGGGGACCAGGAAATCGGGGCACCACGATACCCAAATACGTTAGATTTCTAGACAAGCCTTTTTAACGTCGAAGTTCGCCTGCCAGTAAGAACAGCCCAGAGCATCCTGTAAGGGGAAGCATAGCTGGGCGATCTAGAAAGCCGCTGGCAATGAACTTTGCGCCCATAAACTTAATCCTCATGTGGGATGGCCATAGCCAGCGATTCTGTGGCCTCCCCCAGGAACACGGACGGTAAGCACCACAACCGCTGGGAAATCAGGGAAGATCGTAGGCGGCTGAATGGGTTGCACAACGTCTTTGCCTCTCTGGCTTGTTCAGCTCGCCCACCCTTTCGCACTGACCTTCAACTTATCGACTCACCATCACACCAACATGTTTGGCTGAAACGCGGTCGCCTACCTACATTGTAGACATGATCGCAAGAGTCGCATAAACAGCTAATTAAAAAGGCTCATCCAGTTGAAGCTCGCTTCTTGGCTGGCAGTCATGTAAGTATGTACATACTGTAGATCGGATGAACTTCCGAAGCAAGGATGAGCCTTGCACTTGATTCTCGGTTAGTAGATTTAGTAGATCTTAGTGGGCGCCTGGACTTCATTCATGATCCAGAAGACTTTACTGGCGGCGGAGGATCAGAGCCAAAACGACATGGTCGATGGTCTGAAGTTACACCTAGTTTACTGGTAGGTGTGGCTTCGCACAATTAGGTACTGGGATTAGGCCCGCCCAGACTACTGGGAGAAGAAGAGGATTGTTCTCGGCTTGTGTCCTTCTCAGGTAAGGTAATTTAGGTAACCATGCCTTTGTCCTCCAGAAAAGGCCTAGAGTGAGCCACAGGTATCCTTGCCGCCTCTCCGATCACAGAAGTGAGGAATGTGTAGCTGAAGTCTCTTGCTTGCGGCTGGCGCTAGATTCGTGATCGTCGGGCAACCCGTGAAAACGGTTCATGCCATTGACATCGACATCGAGGACTGATATTTGCTTTGGTGAAGCACATCTGAGCAGGAATAGCTTGAACAAGGTCAAGCTTGGGTTAGTCCTGAGCTAACCAAAGCCAACAGAAATGGATATGTACTTAGCTTTAGTGGCCCACTTACGAGACTCGCAGGAAATTTGACAAGTCAATTCCAATTGCCCTGGCTAGCCTGGCTCCAGTGGAAGATCGCTGCTAAATGACGGACAGACGGACAGATACCTGCCCAGCTGCCCTGGTGGCCTGGGCTGTGTAGTGTCCCGCCCCCTGCCCCTAGACATGGACCTTGTCGCCGAGTCTTCGGTAATCTGGGCAAACATAACTTAAACGAGCCTTTCTCCGAGACAGCACCATTGATCAATCCATGCATGCGAGAATAGTGTCTTGGAATGTAATGAGACATGCCTCTTGTTGAAGAGTCAGGCCTTTTTGTTCGATCGAAGCTCGAGTCCATCAATCACGTTTTTTATCAATCGCGCCTCGTTTGAAGAGGTCAAGTTTGCAACAAGCTCATCTTCGTAATTAACAACTCTGAATTCATCCCTTGCTGTAATAATGACGTACAGAAAACAGAGTGTTTATAATGGAGGGTGCCTTGGGCCAACTGTGGCTGGCTCAGATTGAGGTGCGTGCATGGATTTATTGATGCCGTGACACTTGCCAGCCCTTGCCCTACATAACAGAAGTGATAAGTCACGCAATTGCTTTTCTCACTCATGACTATTCTCGAAGGAGAATCATATGCTGTACACACTGCATAGTTAGTCTCACATTGCTCGGGTGGCATTTGCCCTACCTTAAACAACACAACCCTGTGTGGTGCCATCCATGCATTTTCACACGGGAAAGAAGCTGCTTGCATCTCCAGCTGAACCATTTGACGCGTGTCGTTGGAATTACGTGTTATGCATGTTCCAACCCAAGCTGATGTTATTGGGAAACACCTCCGTAGCAAATTTAGTCTCGGGTGACTGCGATTCAAATGCTGTTTGCTCCTATTTCTTCTGGAGCACGTCAACAAGTCAGGATCCAATGCTTGATCAGCATCCATATCTTGGGCACTAAAATTTATTCACGCAGGAAATTCAACGACTAATAAGTAAAGGGCTCGTGGAAATGGAGCTATCCATAATATGCATCATGGGCCTTTGTCATCTCTTCAGAGAGCCCTCCCTGTTGGGCATGTTCTCCCCTCAAGTGTTGTCGGCCCTCCCAAAACCTCTCCCTATCCCCCAGTATTTCATTTGCCCATGCTTTTCCAGCCTCGGTTCTTAACTTCCGGGCAACTCCCATGAACTCGCCCAGATCTTTTTCATTCTTACTCTCCCTTTCGTACTCAACTGCTTGCAGAAGGAGCTCGATTTTGTCAATGTCCTGGGCAAACTGAGCCTCCGGAGTTTCACCAGCTTCGAATTCATGCCACAGCTTTTCAATCTCGGCAGTGTATGGTCCAGGCCATCGACTGGCAATGTAAGCGATGGTTGAGGCCTCTCTTCTACCCTTCTCAGTCCTAGAGACGCCGCTGAAAGGAGTAATATCTCCCACGACAGATTCTGCAATGTCGTGAACAAGGCACATCTTCATGCACTTGGCTTGGTCAAGTTCCTGTGGTGCAAACATAGCTACCATGCCCATTCGATAAGAATGATCTGCAACCGACTCGGGACTGGTACTTGTGAGCCCATCGGTAAAGGATACCCAGAAATAGAGTGCAACCTACTTGATACCATGTCTCTTCCAGCCTTCACGCTTTGTTGTCTTGAGAAGGCCAAGAAGATGGAAAAATGAGATCGGTGAGTCTGATATATGAACTAGGTCATTGCGACTCAAGGCTTTCTCAACCGTCCATGGTTCGCCATTCTCTGAACATTGGTCGTCAGTGTAACTTGGCAAGGCATTTGGATAGGACATATGTACCTGAGCTGTCAATTGGTTTCTCTGAACTTTCTTTAGACATTTCCTTGATGTTTATTATATTTAGGGTTTGTTTCTGGCTGGAAGAAGTCAAATATCGACGTTGTTGGTTCCTGCAAGTCGTGCTCCCCCGCTCCGGGACGCTTCGGTCCGTGTGCCAATCAATGTTTGAAACCAGGTAAGCATCTTATCATGATCTTGGCTGGCAATTGACAGTAGACATCATTCTATGGGCATGAACGGCAAAACCAGGTGTTCTAATTATAGCAGGTTTCCACAACTTGATGCAACTCGACGCGGATATCCCGTCCCCGTTGCACACATTATTCAGTGCCCTACCTGTGCTGGTTAACGCATTATCCCTCAAGCTCATATGCGTTCCGGAGATATTCTACGTTAAGGGAGAAGAAAATAAAGTAAAACGGGTCTAAAACCTGTCATGAAATATCCATTTGACCCAGAGGATAAAAGGTAATAACAAGTCCTTAGGTCCAGAGTAGTAGTAAAACTAACACCTGAGATAGGTTTACAAACCGCTTACAGCCGTTATGGCAGCCGTTCGGGATATCTTGAGGATTAAGCTTCATGATAATTTCCACTTAGCAGTTTATTGACGATAGAGTCAAGAATCTGTGTCTTGGAATATTTCGGGGTTGTTCTTCATCGACTGTTGTGGTTCTGTTGTGGAAATGGTCCAGCGCTGCTGTCAACCCAATGATCAGCAAAAGCAACAGTACTCGTGTGATACTGGCTTGATATAATTGTTTTACTAGACATAATTACTCCTATTTCCTAGGTATTGTTCTATGTGTGGCTCTGCGCCTCCCCAATGAATTATATGGGCTGAGATGCTTGATGTAGTTGAGTAAATTATACAAAGTGGTTCATGGAATCTTCTTGGAAAACCCTCTACACGGCTCACATCAAACGAGACTGGCGAATTCTCCATCAAAGAGTCAACTGATGTCGTGGCTACGAGCTTGACGGTCTCGCATATAGCTATACTTTATCAGTGACACAGGTATACATCCACGGATACGAATCTCAGCCACACCGGAGACTCTCATGGTTGGGCAGTTGGGTGACTTTATTCGTGACACAAAAGCAACTCTTCCGCAATACAAAGGGAAGAACACGCATTAACTTAACATTCTGGTTGTCATCAGTAATCATAGCATTATTTAAATTTATCACTGTAGTGTGACCATTTGGAATCACAATATGCAACTGCCTGAACTTTCTGCAAATCATCGTCTTCCTGCCGTTGATAATCTTATCAGATTATGAAATGGGTGACAGATATTGCGCCGACTGGCATCTCGCTTGCCGAAGCTGGCGCCGAGCCTCATTTGGCCATCATCGTGAATGTGGACATCTGAAGGATGCGTCATGGTTAGGTAGAGAACTGAACATTTGTCAAGAACCTCATCTTATTAATAGAGCACCGACTTTTTTTTCTTTTTTACATGATTCCAAATGGACCCTGGGCAAAACCCGGTCTCTATCATCAAGGTGCTGCGTATCTCAATACCATTGCGGCTTGAGTGGCCGATCGCGGTTCCACCATGGCCGCGCCGACCGCGCCGACCGCTTTCCGAGGATCCCCACAGGTCTTCACTGACCTCATCAGGGCCCTCTTTACGCCAACGATCGATTCTCCGATCGACCTCCGAAAGACTGAGAAGCGGCGGGGTACCTAGCGAGTCGTAGACTGAGGTGCCTAAGGGAAAGAGCGGCACTGTCTACATGCGGAAGGCAGGGACGATATAAACTTCTCCAGATGCCCTCAAAGTTGGGCATGATTCAGTCTCTCTTCCTCACACTTCGACATACATCTTCTTCTGCTCTTGCTCAACCTGCACCCCTATACACAACAACTTCTTAAATAAAGTCAAAATGTCTGAGCTTAAGGCCGGCGATAACTTCCCAGAGGGTGTCTGGTTCAGCTATATCCCTCCCTCGCCTGAAACCTCCGAGTTCACTACTTGTGGTACACCTGTCCCCTTCAACGCCAGCCAAGGTATGTGATCTCACAATCAAGCCTCGTCTAAGAGTTCAGGCAGACTGACATCGCTCAATACAGAATTCAAGAACAAAAAGGTTGTTCTTGTCTCTATCCCAGGTGCCTTCACACCTACTTGCTCTGGTTCTCACATTCCTTCCTACTTGGAACACGTCGATAAGATCAAGGCCAAGGGCGTTGATCAGGTCATTGTCATCGCTGTCAATGACCCCTTTGTCATGAGCGGCTGGGCCAAGGCCAACGGTGTTACCGACGACAAGATCGTGAGTTTCTCTTTTATTGAACAAGTCAGCATCACAGGATTAACTTGACCAGCTCTTCATGTCCGACAAGGATGCTAAGTTCTCCCAAACCATCGGCTGGAATATTGGTGAGCGAACTGGACGCTTTGCGATTATTGTCGACCAAGGCAAGGTCGTGTACGCTGCAAGGGATGAGGAGCCTGGGAGCATTGAGAAGTCTGGTGCCCTGGGTGTCTTGGCCCAGCTGTAATTGGAGTTGCATTGCAATGCACAAAAAGAATAGAATATAGACATGAAGTACGAAGCACGAAGGGTTAAGATAGATCGACGTGTGTTCAATTCGAAGCATATTAAAGTTGTCTTGGTCTGAAACGTCTTTTTTGTGAAGCCTGCTCTCGTATCATAAGGCATTTTGTCGTTAAATCCACCAAAACGTGTTGCCAGCAATCGGATCGACGCCGTGACTTGTTTACCTAGAACCATGCGATTGTACAGCTCGTGTTCACCACGGCATAAAAAAAGTGCAGCTTTTGTTTGACCATTTTGCATTGCTCAGCTATCAATGCACCCTATTGGCAATCCATGCACCCGAGATTGTAGAAGAACCGGCCGGATAAAGACACAAGAACCACGGACTCCACTCTTCCATTTTCTTCCTCCCTCAAAGTCCATTCCTAACTTAACGGCTCTTGGCTTGAACCTTGGGGGCAGAGCCCTTAGCACCCTGCTTGCTGACTTGTCGGACAGCCTGGCCCTTGGAGGCCTGGGCAGCGAGCTTAGCCTTCTCGGACTTCTTGGCAGCAGCATCGGCCTGCTTCTTCTCCTTGCTCTCCTTGATGGCCTGGGCTCGGGCCGCGGAACGGGCCTCGGGTCGGATGTTGCGCTTCTCCTTGATCACGTCGAGAGAAGCACCAACGATGCCTCGCTGGGCTTTGACGGTGCGGCGAGTTCGCTTCTTGGCAACCTCCTGTAGAATATGTCAGCTCCGTTGAATGGTGGCAATCAGCAGCACACCAGCAGCAGTGATAGCCGCTGTGAGTACTTCTTAAGTTTGGCAGATTCTTACCTCAGAGATACCCTTGCGGTGCTGTCGTCGATACAAGACGGTCCATGCGATACGGCGGGGGTTCTTCCTTTGCAGGAAGAGAGACTCCGACTTGCCGTTCTGGAATCGGAAGATCTTGCTGTCGCCACGGACGTAGAGCTTACCCTGTGAAGCGATACCCGTTAGCCTTTTGATGTCCTGATTTATAAACACCGAGTGCACGTCCTGCGATCCGTCATCGCCGTCATCCCCCTCCAGCGACTGGGGGGGTTCGCATTTCGATAATCGACCGGATCGCATCAAGGGGACGGATGGGGATAGTGGCTCAAGGAGCGTACCTTGCCAGGGTAAATTCTCGCGCCGGAGAAGGTGTCCTCGTAGGTTCGCATCTTGTCGCTGGTTGTGCGTTGAAGGCGACAAGGTGTTGTATGGTTGACCGTGGATTGGCAATGGCAAATGGAAGGTTGAGGGTCGCACTTTCTCGAATCGAATTTCGTGTGAGCGGCTTAGGGCTACTGGGTTCCTTCCAATCTCGGCTTTGGAGTCATCACGTGCAGGGGCGCTTGCCTTAGGTAAGCTACCGATGATTCTCCGGAGGGCACCCATGGAACCTCATCAATACCGATATCAACACGACAAAAAGTCCTAAGTCTTTAGTCTTGGCCCGCGGCTTTTGCATCAGCCTTTTGGATAGACTGGATATGGCTAGATGATGTCCCAGGCGGATCTGGTGGCACAAGCAGTACTGCAACAATTCTACAAATTACCCTCGAAGCGAAAACCTGCTGTTCGTGACAATGGCGTTCATGAATGGGTTCCGCTGAGTGGCATCGTTGCTGAGAAAGATGGCATTCTAACATGTCTAGCCCTAGCGTAAGCGTGTTCGATTCCTGTTTATTTCTCTACATATCCTAAAATTTCTTATCGTAGAACTGGCATGAAATGCCTACCTGCGTCAAAAATATCACAATCCAATGGCGTGGGCATCCATGACTGGCATGCGGAGGTCCTAGCTATACGAACTTTCAACCGTTTCTTGCTTGATGAATGCGAGAATATCCTCGATGAAGATGACGAGTCGAGTATCCTCCAAAAGAAGACCAACGCTTCAAATTTAAATAACACCCCTTTGCAATTATTCGAAATCAAGGACGGCGTCAAGTTGCACATGTACTGCTCAGAAGCACCATGTAAGTAATTTCAAACGAAAACACTACTTTTACTGAATAAGCAGGCGGTGATGCTAGTATGGAGCTCATAATGGCTTCTCAAGAAGATGATTCAGCATGGGAAACCCCAACTCCTGTAAATGCAAAGCCTGGAGGTGATGCACAAATCTCTTTACTAGGAAGGGCTTGCTTCTCGAGAACTGGGATTGTTCGACGAAAACCTGCTCGAGGAGATGCGCCCCCAACATTATCCAAGTCCTGCTCTGATAAACTTGCGTTAAAACAATGCACTTCACTTCTCTCAGCCATCACATCAATATTCATCGATCCTACCAATGCATACATTAGTAGCATCATCTTGCCAAGATCCCAATACTCTGATCTTGCATGTCGACGTGCTTTCTCAGCAGAAGGCAGGATGAAGCTCATGGCTGGCAAAGAGTGGCTGGGGGGCTATTCGTTCAGGGAGTTCTCAGTTGTGACGACGGGCCTGGAATTCGAGTTTTCGAAACGATCTGTACAGATGAGAGCATGCAAGATTTCGGCGAGTAATCTAGCAGCGACATGGTCACGATCAGGTTTCGAAGAGAATCTCATTGGGGGAGTTATTCAAGGTCGGAAGGCTTTCAAGACAGACGGAGCAAGTCAAGCTTCCAAGCGTTGCATGTGGGAGGCAGCAAACAATCTCGCTAGTAAAATAGGTGGCGCTTCCTCTTCCACAGCAATGTGTCCTGGTGGTAAGACGTATCGCCACTTGAAAGAAGGACAGTTGATGGCTCACCGACGGCAAGTTAAGGACGAGACCCGTGGGATAGCACTGTCAGGGTGGATAAAAAATGACGGAGGGTCAGATTTCCAACTAGAAAAACGAAGCAATCATTGACATCATTAGAGATTGGTATTTCTCCCGATGTAAGTCGTATTTTGTTTGTTCGTACAGATCAATCAACCTCAGCGAGCATAAGATCGCCATTCCACCATGACATTCCCAAGCTGTGACCTTGTCCGTACCCGTACCTGCTCCTCTGCTACTCAACATAGAGCGGGGGAGTGACTGTTACGACTGCCCAATACCAGGGGGAAACATAAAACCCGCTTCGTAGGAGAAACTAGCCAGCCTCTTGGCCGAACAGACCTACGATTTTACTGCCCCTTCGCCCTTGACTGTGTAGAGAAAATTTACTCGACCTTGGGCTCGTTCTCGAAGTTCTCACCCTCGACCAAGTCGGGGATCTCGTCATCGTCCTCGCCCTTCTCCTTCTGGAGGTTCTGGTAGCTCTCGGCGAGCTTGCGCAGAGAAGCGAGGGAGTCGGGGCCGAGCTGGTTAAGGATACCGGGGACAAGCTCGGTGAGCTCCTTGTCCTCACCGTTACCATAGATGGCAAAGGTGTTGGAAGGAACAGCAGCGTGGACTGTTGGAGTGGAAAGGGAATGTCAATATATATCAAGCCCCACGAAACATGCCATATTAGGATGACTAACCCTTGGGAGCAGCGAAATGAATGACGTTTCCGTCCTGCTTGAACATGTTCACCTCCTCAATAGCCTGGATGGGCTGAGTGTTCAGCTTCTTAAGGGCGAGCTGAAGCTTCTTATCGTCGGCACCGGAGCGGGCGGGCGCACGCTTGACCTTTCGTCGGGGGGTACCCTTTCCACTGAGTCGTTCCGTTAGCAGCGACAACTAATGGTGACAGCCGAAGAGCATCGAAATGCGAAGACATACCCTAAATGACAGATCAGTTTGCTAATCTCACCTCGAATTTAATCGTAAAATTGTGCAAAAGTCACATACCAGTTCGGGCGCTCAGGCCGAGCTTCTTGAGACGTTCTTGGACTTCGGCAGACGACATGATGGGCGAAATTCGATTGCGGGGGATCGGGGGACTCGATCGAAACTGGGACAAAACTCGTCAGTTGGGGCGGTTTCGAACGGGACAAATCAATTGTTGGAAGGCATTTTGCTCGGAAATTCGTGCATGCGTGGGTTCAGCAACGTACCAGTAAGTTAGGCTTGGTAATTAGCTGTTTGTCGCCGTCGGCTTCGAATCGGTGGTGATAAGTCAAAGTAGATTTTGTGCGTTTTTCGCCTGTGGAACTACCATTTCGCCGAAGGAGGGGCTCTGGTGCTCCGCCCTTTGCTGGTACCACATTCATCGCCCGTGACGTTATAGCCGCCTCCAGCCAGGCTCGTGGGGTAAGTCAAGAAGCCCGCCCACACATGGAAGCCATGACATTTGATGTCGAGCTCTTGAGATGCTCTATACAGTTAGTTCCTGGAATACATTGTCTGAGACGAGCGCATGTACTTCAATTGCACCTAAACAAGGGCTTTGTCAGGTAGAGCTGCTACTACCTACTAGGTGTGATCACATTCATATAGCACTTTCTCAGTTGTCTCGAGAAAATTGATGATTCGGATAGCCACTCTATTGGAAATATCGGTGGTCGTGCCAGGGCAGTCTAGGCAGTGAAAGATAATCTCATCTTGGTTTCGAATGAAAGCAGTTGAATGTTGATTCCAAAAACTCCAAATAATTTACTCACCCCTGCAACTAAGGTATTTCCTATGATAAGTTGTTATACATGAGCTGTCCTTCACCACACCACATATCTTACAAGCATAAAGGGCATTCAGTTTCAGTTCCCATTGGCGGCTCTATTTTGCGTCAAGGCCTGCCTCTCTCCTCATCTCTTCTCGTCGAGTGTCTGCATCCTTCTGAGAGGCTTTCGCGGCGGCGGCGGCGGCCTTGCGCTTTCGCTCCTCTTCTTCTTTCACAACAATCCAGACTAGATAGCTCAGGTTAGCAATTGATACTTCGAAGGCGAAAAAGACACACTTGGTTTATCCGATTTGGAGTATTCCTTCAGTCGAGTCACGAAGTCGTCAAACTCTTGTTGTCGCTCCTCACGGTTTTCCAAACTCTTCTTCCGCAATTCAGGGTTGTATCTCGATCGAAGCTCTTCCTCGGTGGGAGTTAACCACATTGTAAAGGCTGGTCCACCGACTGCGACAGCAGCGCCACTGCAATACATCAGCTTGGTTTTTAGCAGACTCTGATAATGGCAAAGACTTACCCCATCAGGACTTTGGTCCAGAACCACCATCTTGAAGATGTTTGTTTAGCAGCCATTATGAGAAGGGTGAAGAACAAGAGTACAGGATTTGAAGACGTGAAATGCAACAAGATGAAATTGGAGTGGAATCTGAATTGGTATCAAATCTTCCAATGATGATTTGCACGATTCTGCATCCGTCATTGATTTGGCAGTATGCCCTTCCTTATTGGTAGTAGTCCAATCAGGAAAGCGGTCACGGAGCTGAGCATGACCCGAAGCCGGATATGTTCCTTGACTTGGGTCAAGAACATTTGAGCATCATAGCATTGACAAGAGGTTGGTACTCGGCAATTGGGTTTACCACCATTACCTTTTGAGATATCTCGATGTGGTATTTTAGAAGCCAAAACATGCAAACTGCAACTCACATGCAGATCTTTGGTTGTGAATGCATATAGCAAATAGCTCGCCATAGGGTAGCGACGTCAAAGCAAAAGTTGCTAGGCCGACCACCTAGACGGTTCAAGAGTTAAAGACAATGTTTCAGCTTCCCACAACATGGTATTCTCCTTTCGTGTTCAACGAGGAGCTGAGAGGTGGCGATAACCGTCTTCCCCAAAAAAGAGGCTTCGTGGCTCCTGACTGGTTGACATTTGAAGTCAGCTCGGACACTTCCTTGACGAATGGCGTATCAGGAATCGAGCTGGTAGACAAATGAATCTCCGGCTTCGTCGGATCTGCAGGTTCGCTCCAACACATTTGTCTCACGGCCCTGCACTTGACTGTATCCATTTCAACAACGTTCTCATCGCATAGCCTCCAGATTCTTGACGTCAATACATTCGTCAGAGGGCTAAGCGAAAGCACGGGGACAAGTACCGCAACGTTCCCTCCAACCTAGCGCCGATTAACCGCCACAAGACCTGTCAAATTCGAGAGCGCCATGAAAACCGTTCGTTGAGGGATTCATAGCTCTTGGCCAGATCCACAGATGATGGTATGCGAGCCACCGTGCTTAGGGCTATCAGGGGTGCAAGAGAAGTACTGTATACTGCATTTACGTAGACTAGAGAGAGGGCGCAATCAAGAGAGCCCTTTGTTTTATTGGTTTATTTCGGCCTTTGAGGCCAGTCTTTTCCGCTAAGAGCCTTCCTGTGAATGCTTATTCGAGGAATGAGTGATTGATCAAATCCTTGCGGGAGCAAACAATGCCAGGGTAGTATGACGACGAGCATTGTGATACAAACAACGCTTTGTGTGAAGCAAGCAATAATACCCAAGCCCTGTTGGATAAGTCATCGCCTGAAGACGGAAGCCGGGCCAGTAAAACCGATTAACGTCGCCGTTAATTAGCAGGGGTTGGATTGAGCCACCATCAGTTATGCAGCCTGTTGGCGATTGTAAGCCAAGCCGGTAGCGGCGAAGCGCCATGTCTTTCGACTCTTCGAATCATTGGAATGGATTGCCTAGTGGGAAACCCCCGTGAAAGAAGCACCGCGGCTTAGGTTTGCCCATTATTGACTGTGCGGGCATTGACTCGGAAAAAAGAGTCGCTGTCAGTTCGTGACTGCATTCCTCCATTCCATCAAGCGCTTTGCTTCCATGGAACCTCCTTGGTGCCGAGTGGCTTGTTTTCTTTCGCGGCATAGGTAGTCAAAACCCTTTAACAGAACAGGGCCCGTACATACAGCATTATATTAAGACCAAGGGCCCTACGGAGTACAATACAGGCATTGATGCCCCTCAAGTCCTCCATCCAGTGAGTGTCATAATTTATCCCGAGCGACAGGGGCTGGGGTTCAAGTAAGGTACCCGCATGCAGACTGGTACCTGGACAACCCCACTCAGAGTAACCTAGAAAACGGCCCTAAATGACAAGCCACTGGAGATTTAGCGCTTTGCTCCACAAGCTTCCATTGAAGAACAACTGGACCTGACTGAACCTAATGGACGGAAACCACATGCACTTGGGGGTAGGTCACGTTGGAGGTTGGAGGCAACCTGACCTGCCTCTTCATGGATACCTTGAGCTCTTCCGTTTCGGATGAACCAAGCATAAAGGGGATCCCCCGTCCGCTTGAAATCTGCGCCGCTTGAAAGGTACTAACACTTCTCCTCAAATGAGCACTTCTTCGAACTGAGGTTATTCGATATTCCTCTTGCGCCACTTCTGGTACCTCCTATCGTCGCTTCCATTTTCTTGTATCGCAGACGAACTTGGTGTCTTTGCCAGCTTTGTACCATATCTTGCCAGCTACTTTAGTACCTAGAGACTCGAGTACGCAATTATCCTTCTCTCATTGTTTGCTAAGTCTTTTTTGGGCTGGGATCGTCGACAACTTGTCATCCTTTCTCTTGCATTTCACGATCTGGACCACCGATCACACACTTATTGGAAACCCAGTTGCTGAGGCTGCGGCACGCCATGCGACAGTGATTGAAACTCATTCTGCGCCGACCGATACTCAGAGCCTAGAGCTTCTCTTGATTTCTGGGTTTGCAACCATTTGCACTATACGACATCCAAACACAAAGTTTGTTCGTGTCGCCAACGGTCGAACCACACTCATGGCATACGAAGGCGGCTATGGTGGCCAACAGCGACCTTACGGGGGCCAAGCACCGCCTAGGCATGCCCCGCGACAACAAGTCAATGCGCCGCCACAACAATATGGAGCATCACAACAGTATGACGAGTATCACCAAGACTATGGTTATGGCTCTGGACAGGATTTTGGAGGCCAACGTCAAGATCAGAATTATGGGAGAGGACCACCTCCACAAGACCAATATGGGCGTGGTGGTAGCGTGATACCCGGTCCTTGCGGAGGGCCCATTCCTCGCCCGCAGACAGCTGATCCGCATCGTGGGCAACAGCGCCCTCCTCGAGGAGGTCCAATGCCAGGAGCAGGCAGAGGCATTCCTAATGGACACCCTGGGCAAGGCGGAATACGTCCAGGGCCATATGCGTCGAATTCGGATCCCGCAGGTGAGTTTCAACCCTGATGCTAGGGGCACCAGCTTACAATCGTATCCAAAGCCCGCCGCCATCCTATGAACACGCCTCCCATGAGTCCTCGAGACGGGCATTTCGGACACAAGCACGTACCAAAAGAGCGTGGACGAAGGCCAGACATGCCTTATGAGCAGCAGATGGTCGATCAAATGTCGAATATGGATATGAACCAGAGACCGATGGTGCCAACTAATGGGCGTACCAGTTCCGATGCCCAACGCAGTCAGGGCGAATATGGAAGACCGCCAGTGAATGCGGGCCGCGGACCCCCTCCGAGAGGTTATCCTCAAGGAGGTCCTCCAAGGCAAAATCCAGGCTACGGAGCTCCGGATGGTTATGGAAATTATAACGATGGGTATAACGGCGCTCGAGAGCCTCCTGCAGGTGGCTTTGGCCCACCGGCACGAAGCAGAACGATGCCTGTGGATGACATGCGACAAAGAGGCAACATGCCACCACCCCAACGGATGGACGCAATGCAATATAGCACCCCCGCTGGTCGAGGGATACCACAAAGACCTTCGACTGCTGGCGGTCACCGAGCACCTCCCCAAAGGTCGTACACAGCTGGGCCACAAGCAGGCCCGGGAGCCCACTATAGTGGGGAGTATGATGACCAAAATACATACCATAAACCATCGACAGCTTCTTATGACGAAGTTTACGATGCCTATTTCGACAATCAACGTAACAGCCACCCTGAATACGGACCAGAATCCCAGCACAACCGAGTCAGCCTGCCGGACTTCGATGCTGCACCAGCTCCAGGGCAACGAAGTTCGTTCGAACAGTCAATGCGCCCTAGCAATGAACAGCCTCAGCGAGGAGCCCACCAAACAGCTGTCCTTAATCACGCCAAGTCACAACCAGTCCTTCGTCAACCTCAAACAGCCGTGTTTGAGATGGCTGGCGATGTGCCAGACGTCCCCGCAGTCCCACCGGTTCCACCGATGAGCAACTACCAGGCTGCGTATGATCAGGATTATAACCAAATGCTGGCCAGAGGACCTAGTGCACCAGCAGCTATGAATGGTGCTCGTACTAGTGGACCCATGAATCCGGATGGTCTTCCTTCACATCCCGCTCCTATCCGTCCGGGTCTTATGCAAGATTCAATGGTTCATCTGGGTAACAAGCCAGCTCCTATTCGAAACTACGGAGTCTCTACGCCAGCCCCCCAGCCGCAACCGCAACCGCAACCGCAACCGCAACCACAACCTCAGGCTCAGCCACGACAACCTCAGTATCAACAGCAGCAACGGTCGCCACCTAGGAACAACAGTCAACGGCAGCCGGCCAGGGACGAAGGCCCTGTTACCACACAAGAACTAGAACATCTCAGAATGCTGATCAAGAACAACTCGAGTGACCAGGACTCAGCATTGAGACTGGCCAAGAAGTTGGTCGAAGCTGCTGACGTCTTGGCACCTAAGATGCCAGACCCTAAGCAACGTACAAGGGCACGCGAGCGTTATCTTATCGATTGTCATAAGATTCTTAAAAAGCTGGCTAATGCCCAGAATCCAGACGCCATGTTCCTCCTGGCAGATTGTCTCGGACGAGGTCTCTTCGGTGATAGCGATCATAAGGAAGCTTTCACTCAGTACCAGTCTGCCGCAAAACTTGGACATCCTGCAGCAGCTTACCGAACTGCAGTGTGCTGCGAGATTGGCCATGAGGAAGGAGGTGGTACACGTAAGGACCCAATGAAAGCAATTCAGTGGTACAAACGTGCTGCCACTCTGGGCGATCCTCCAGCAATGTACAAGGTTGGAATGATCTTACTGAAAGGGCTTCTTGGTCAGCCCAAGAATCCCAGGGAAGCGGTGGGGTGGCTGAAGCGGGCTGCAGAGCGAGCAGATGGAGAGAATCCACACGCACTACACGAACTCGGCTTGTTATACGAATCAGCTCAACCCAATGATGCTATCATTCGAGATGAAGCATATGCATACAGCCTATTCCTTCAAGCTGCTGACCTGGGATACAAGTTCTCACAGTATCGACTTGGATGTGCTTTTGAATATGGATTGCTGGGCTGTCCGATCGACCCTCGCCAGTCCATTCAATGGTACTCAAAAGCTGCCACACAAGAGGAGCATCAGGCAGAGCTTGCACTCAGTGGCTGGTATCTCACAGGCAGTGAAGGTGTACTAGGGCAGAGTGACACCGAGGCCTACCTTTGGGCCCGCAAGGCTGCCATTGCAGGCCTTGCCAAGGCCGAATATGCCATGGGTTACTTCACAGAAGTAGGTATCGGCGTTCCCCCAAATCTGGAAGATGCAAAGCGATGGTATTGGCGAGCAGCCGGTAAGTGCAATAGAATCATACTTGTGGGCGACAACTGACAACAGTGCACAGCCCAAGATTTCCCGAAGGCTCGTGAGCGCTTAGAGGATCTAAAGCGTGGTGCAGGCAAGAACGGCGCGCGTCAGCGTGAGCGCATTTCCCGTAGCAAGATGGAGAGACAACAAGAAGGTGATTGTGTTCTCATGTAAACTACACGGTTTCATCCCGGGTTGCCTCAGACACATAACAAGGGATGAACATGAATTTGATGAAGCAAGCGGGACACGAATCGATGCCTTGCAGGCACAAACAAGGATTTTAGTCCCTGAGATGTATGGACTAAAGAAAGGGCGTTGGATACGGTGTCTTGGGATTAGCGTTGATTGCATATGGCGTAGATATATACCATCAGGGGCATTTCACAAAAACATCAACATTTTGCGCAAAATTGTCTGCATATAAAAGGAGAAGAACAAATGAGGAGAACGGGCTGCTGTTCCTCGTTTACTACAAGAATACAAATCAAATTGTAGGCTAAGACATCCTGAAGTATAGCTTATTCTTGCAACATTGATTTGTGACTCAAGCTCCTCGCTAATGTGGAAATATTTCCCAGTCTAATCATTCCCAATATTCAGCCTTCAGCATCAAGGACTCAGTTAGACCACGGTGGTGAATTTATTTCTCAGGAAGCGTCATGGCATACATCATCGGACTGACAAGTACCCGCTTGCCGCCCCTTGAAAGGGTGTTATGAGTGTGATGTACGGTATATGCGTCCGTACCTATGCTTGAAAGACACGCTGTACCTCGGTATAATAGTGTCCCATTACTATGAGCCCTCAATTTCGATCTCACCTTGATATCAAAATTAATCAGCCGGACCTGACAAATCATCCATAGTCAGAGGAAGACGACCATCAGAATCTGTGCCGCGGCCAGTATCCGACAAACCGTTGCCCGAGGATCCGAGCTTAGATGCAGACAACTGGCATTTTTACGTGCAAGATAGCGGTTGCTCGTAGTGACTCACATGCACGTCAGTGTTATTTCAAACTTGGTTATCATGGTGAACATAAAATGGTAGGCAATGAGTTGATTATGATCACCTGAGAAGCCCTCCAGAGAGGCTATGATATCTTTTGATACGGGGCGTGTGACTGTAATCAAGCTTGATCATCAGCAGTTGGTATCGCTCAGAGACTGTTTCGCAGTGTGCTCTAATAAGCTCTTTCTTTTACAAACAAAGCTCTTCGAGCCGTGAGCCACTTCTCGTTGTTGATGATCTGAAACCTGAAAGTTGAGCATCAACGGGTAAACAGAAAGGAATAGACAGCATTCAATTAATGGTACTTGATTCTAAAGATACATGTCCCTTCCCCGAGACTGTAAAGATCAAAGCTAATCCCATAATACTCAACTACCATAAAACGTTGCTGGCTCAGGGCATATCTCTCACGTATAGCAGGCAAGAGAGCCTTTAAACGCCACTTAGTCGCGACATCACCTGGCGACTCCTCATTCTTGTGCTTGTCAGCTCTGGGTATGTGACGAAAGTCGATAGGGGCAGGCCTACAAGACTCCAGCTACATGTCCCGCTATATTGTGGTAGTTCAGACCGGAACCGGGAGGACATCCATCAAGGCAAAGATATGGGAAGCAACAGTCAAACAGCTGGGCTAGTCTCTTCTTGCTTGAGGTTTCGATAGAAATCACCAGCGATAGCCGAGTTAATGGATGCACAAATCTATTCTCAATAATACCACGAACCGCCACCTTGACTAACAGAAATATTCATTCTAATCATGCTGGGTCTCAGTGGTCAATGCAATAGCACTTGCGTGCCAGGCCATATGTTGTAAGTAATAACAAAACAGATAAACTCCGTATCGTCAAAATGGAGGATCATGCGGTGTGCTCTGTCTCATGCAGTAAAGGTGTCAAAACTCCAAGCAATGCCCATTCGAAATCAAAACTTCTCCATCAAATTTGCTCGAACTGTCCACATGCGTGCCCTCTTGCCGTAGATGTACATAGGAATTGTGCATAGCATTAGAAGCAGTTGGATTACACCAATCCAGATATACACCTTCTTCGGGCCATCGCCATGCAACCAATGCGTAACGAAGAGGCTGAAAACAAGCCCATGTAAGATATTCTTTGAAAAGTTAAGCGTCACCAAAGCCTCTCCGGCGTATTGGCGGTAGCTGTCCACACAGAATGTGATGGATGTAGTCGATCCAAGTGAGCACCCAAATGACACAACTCCAAAGAAGAAGGTAGGGACCATCCAATGATCTTTTTCTTCTGCCGACCAGCCAAAGCCCATGAGGCCTATGCATGTGCTGATGAGGATGGGAAGGGCCATGACAAGACGGAACTCAGGCTCGTAGAGACCACCGTTACGCCTCGACATGATCTTGACGATAACGTCACTGACCTTGCCAGCCACGCCAGTTCCCAGGATACCACCGATAAAAGGCGAGATATACACTAAGCCAGTCTGGAGCGCGGTGAAATTATAGGAATCCTTGTCGCGGTATATCATGGCAATCGATTCGGAGATGACGATAAGCCAACCCACAGAGCAAGCATACACGGCAGCTGACCAAAGGACCGCCGGGTATGCGAATAGAATGAAAGGGCGGATCATGACCTTGAGCCAGCTATCGCTGTTTAGCCTTCCATGCCAGGGCTTAAGCTGTTGAACGAATGACTTTGGAGGCTGCTGACGGAGGTTGTGTGTGTAAGCCTGAATCTTGGGCGGCCCCTGGAGCCGCGAGGCATCGAGCTTCTCGTCCTCGAGGTTTGGACCTAGCTTGAAAGACGCGCTGATGGACTCACTCCCAGTCGTACTGTCGACATCCCCTGGGGCAGCTGGGTTTTTACCAGACGGATGGACTACCGCCGTAGGCGAAACTGGTGTCACAGAGGCTGTGGCTTCTTCAGCAGCGTCGCCAGACTCAGCAAAGCCAACATGGAGATCCCGGCCTCGATGAAGAGCAGCAGGTGATTGACGTCCATCTTGAGCATGGCCCGCACCTGCGAAGTGCGCTTCAGGCTCACCCTGAAGTAGCCCCTCTCCGCCAGTTTGCGGAACCGCATGTCGAGATGAGAGCCGGCGAAGAAAACTTGGACGCTTGGATGGATGCTTAGGTCTTGCGTGGGGGGTGCGATCCCAAAAGGTTTCCGGGACAAACAAGAAGAGAAGTACAGCACCAAAGGCAATAATCATGGCCAAGATCCAGAAAACCCAACGCCACGAGAGGCCGCCAATGATGACGGCACTGACAAGGGGGACCAGATTCTTGCCGCCAAGCAAAAGAAGAGTATAGATACCAATGCGGTAGGCTCTTTCATGGAGGAAGAAGATTTCGGCAATTGTGGCTGATGGAAGACATTCAACAGGGCTAACTGCAAAGCCCTGGAAGACTCTGGCCGCGAGGAGAGAATTAAAGCTTGGAGACCATGCTGCCCAGAGTGATGTCCCAATGAACAGGAATGCACTGCCCAGATATACTGGGCGTTTACCCCATAGGATAGCGGTTGGTGAGAATACAACGGAGCCGAGGCCCATTCCCATCATGTAGAGTCCGGTGGTCAAAGCGACCCTCTCGACATCCATGTCGTATGTCTCTGCAACGTCGGTGAAGCCGGCGGCGATAATAGGAGTTGTGCCGCCGCCAATCATGCAGTAGAAACCAAGCGACAAAAGAGCAATGTCTCGTTTCCAAGCAGGCCAGTTCAAAGGATCATTTCCTGATTCTTCAGGCTGTGGTTCTAGTATGATAGCCCCATCACTTGTTTTCTTCTTGCCGTCACTCTCGTCGGGGGAAGCTTGACTCTCCACTACTGAGGCAGCAGCAGCAGCGGCTGCTGCTGATGAGGCTGATGTCCTTCGTGTATCAACAGGAAAGCCAGCAGGAATAGATGAGTGAGAGGTTCTGGCGTGCACATTCCGCAGACCAAGAGGCTCATTACGATGTGATGCCAGAAGAAGCACGGAACCTATAACGCGTCAGTCATGCGAATTTGATATAGAAACACGTGAGCTTTTGAGCTTACCTGGAACTTCAATAGTCTTTTTATCGTTCAGAACACCCATGCTCCATCTGGAAGGACCGTAGGATTCGTCTGGCATGGCACCGGCAGGCCCGCCGCCGCCGCCCAGGAAGCGCCGCCACCTGGGCACGTTTGATTTCTCTGACTGCATAAGGAGGACTTTCTCAACTAATATGCAAATTAAAACTGGAGGTTTGGGTTGAACTTCTGATGTGTACAGAGGGGTTCTCGATAGGATGCTTGAAGAGGGAGATATAGACCTTGATGGGTAGTCTAGAAGTTGAACATATTTCGATTGTAGGTGTCAAGTGGATAATGATACAAGGGGAAACAAAGCTTCTAATGCAGGTCGCGTCTTCGAGGAGGGAGAACAAAGTGAGGCTGGAAACAGAATTCTAGGTTAGGGAGATTGGATGATGGGTGATGAGAATTGTTTATAGGTGAGCGTGATAGAGATGGGAAGCCACCTTAGGTAGTTTCGTCGCGAAGCAATGCAAGTCATCAGGGTCCAAATAATTGTGGAGTGTTCAAGTCGTCACCAACTGCAAGCCAAATGGAAGGTTTATGGCAAAAAACAGACTCGGCTTGGAATCATACGACAGACGACGTAAAAACAAAAAAACAAAGGAGCAAGACAATGTGCCACTTCGGCTCGCTGTGAGGAATATATCCTCGCAAAGAAACAATGCGCGAGGAGGCGGTAGGGTTATAAGTAAGGCTTCTATGCTTCTCCCTGATAACCTAGGGACTGACTGGACTGGACTGGACTGTAACGGTCTACCCTAGCACTAGGTATGGACTCGACGGATAACGCGACCAAGGTTAACGTTGGATCACCAGGCTCAAACTCCACTCCCATGCCTTTAGGCCTGGTGACAAAGGATCCATCATCCTGTTGGCTACTTGGCGGGAGCGGCGGCAGTGCCATAACTAAGGACGATTCCAGGTTAAACCAAGTTTCACTTCTGTAGATGCTGCACGCGTGACCGACTTATTGTTGTTTAGACGGTGTCCCGTGCGGTCGGCACTCTGCAGCGTCTCTTTGCAAGCTAACCACTGGCCCATCTCACTGCAGCTGCCCCAGTAAACAAATGCATCCCCCACCTTGTGAAGGGTCCTGTCGCTAGGCCATTACATCATTCCTGACATGGATGGGCGTCTTACCATGTCTCACCTCCAAATCTTCGCTTGAATTCCATTCTACCGAAGCATTTTAGGTCCAATTGCACTTTCAGCTTTTGGCCATTGAGGCTGTGGTTCATCTCCAAGATCATAATGCACACATTCACCTTGCGTACTGGGCTCCGGCCTTTCTGCAATAAGGCGCAGACGATACCTCGTTCATTCCAGCGAGCCTTGATCTCTTCGACTACATCGCGGCAAGCCAAGAACCAGATATACGCCCCGTAAGTCAGATTGCTTTGCTTTGATAGATCACATGTCTCCGCACATGTTCCCCCCCTTGTAGTCCATTTGTCGATCGCTGTCTTTGTCTCCCTCTGCCGAGAAATAGCTTGTCTGTTGACCGCCAGCTAGTATCCGCAACAATGACTCCTTCTCGACCTATCTTTCACTCTCGACATCGTCCCGGACCCCCCTGCTGACCCTGTGGACCGCCTCATGGTGCTCAACCTGCAAAGTCGTAAGCCCTCTCATCAGAGATCTTGTAGAGTCTGGCGTTGGTGAGGAGGAGGGAGGCGTGTCTCTTGCGACGGTTGAGTTTGATTCACCGGATATCATATCAGGAAGTCCCAACTTAGCCATGACTTACATGATCACCAGCATTCCCACGCTCTTAAGTTTCGATGGTGGGGAGGCACAAACAACGACCAAGCTATCAGATGCCAGAAAGCTCGCGGACAGGGAGTTTCTGAAGGAATGGATCCGAACTGAAGCCAGGAGACATGGTGGCCGTGGAGGAGGAGGAGGCGGTTCGTCTATCTTTGGAGGGCTGTTTGGCAAATAAGGCAACATCAAAACTCATCAATGATCTGTATAATACACATGTTTCCAGGGTATTTTCTGCCTTTGGAACCATGCCAACAATATCACAGCCAGATGTCTAGAAGCTCACGATATCAACAACACCCCCCACAAATACTCGAGCAACATCGTCACGTCGGGCTGGGAGACAGGTATCTTTTGCCTAGAGTCTTCTCTCTTCAAATAGTGGAAATGCTCGCCATTGCTCGCTCTCGGCCACTTCCCCCCATATAAAGATCAAGTTCAGGAAGAGATATCAACCTTGGCGTTTGTGTGTACGGTCAGTATCAAATGTCTAGTACCACACTCAAGGATATGATGCAGGCTTGGCCTGAAGGACCTGATCACGTTCCTCGCTATGGTAATGCTCTTCCAGGGTAATGTATTCGCGACCTTGAATCTTGGTGGTTGTTTTTAGGCCGAATGAAAATTGTCGACCCAAACGAAGCCTTGCCCGTTATTGAGGCCCTAGAGTCCATGAGCAAATTCATGTCATACGAAAGTCACTAGCTGAAGATTCGGCATGTCCCGTCTTAAGGAAATGGGAAGTTAGACATAGACACATCATCTTCTCATGAGCGTTAGCAGGCTTGAGAATATTGTTAGACTTGATGGCGATGGTACTCTATAAAGGAACAGCTCATCCAGGTAAGGTGAGGTCGAACATTCCCTCCTCAAGATTAAAGCACAGATTCGCGAGGTTGTGAGTGTTAAGGTTAAATATGCAATGATTTTCACTCCTTGAACGGTCAAGTTGAGTCATGTTGGCAAACCGTAATCAACCAGATGGAAAAGGACTCCTTCCACAAACCCCTACTTACGCATATCCTAGACTGGAAAGGGATTCTTCACACGTTTTCTTCATGATTCAAATTTCCAATATGTGATAGTGAAGGTAGTGTTGACTTTGCCCATTACCTACCTACCTGCGAGGTGGTGTCCTCTCGCTCCACTACGCACTGAATTTCTCGCACAGTGCCACTCAATCCTCAGAATATTTTGTATCAATTCAATATTTCCCTCCAATATTTCAATCCCAAAATGGCTTCTACTTCACGGATACCCCATCTTTTGGAGCCCTATATCTCTCTGCCTCCAGAGTCCTCACTCAATCTTATCACTAGCGTGCTTGGTGCAAGCGCGAACTGGCTGGTTCTGCGCCATGTGTATTCATACCTCAGAGGTAGTGCAGATGGAGATGAGAGCACCAAGGACACAGGCGTCATACTGCTGAGCTTCATGAGAGATGGTGCCTTTTGGAGAGAGGGTTCTACAAAATTGGTAACAAGTTCACAGATCAATGGACCACCTGTATACGCAAATACTGATATGAGCCAGGGCCTTGATTTAGATGCCCTAAGTAGAGCAGGACGCTTCACATTCATCGACGGTTTCTCAGGACTCTATGGTGAAGCTAAGAACGGGGTGCTAGGCACACGAAAAGAGAGGACGCTTCGGAGTACGGAGCTTGCAGACATCAAAAGAGAAATTGAAGGCGCTATCACGGACTTACGTGCGTCGCGTAAGATCCTTATTATCGACCAACTTGATGCGCTTCTCGCTGTCACCGATGACTCAACCACAAGTCTCACGCTTCAAGACGCCGTTCTTAGCCTACGAAGTGTAAGTCTGCCCGGAAGCAGTGTGTCCTTGCTAAATCCTTTGTAGCTTGTCCACAGTACGCTACTCACTCTGTCAGCCGACGTGCCTCTTGTTGCTACCCAAGTTACGGCGCTTGAGCGAGAGCACGCCAGCCTCGTGCTTTCTACAGCACATGAAGCTGACATGGTGTTCTCCCTACGGATGCTTGATACAGGGACAGCGAGGGATGTCAGCGGAGTAGTCCGCATTACAGGACCTGGAGCAGAGGGCTTGGGTGGTGCTACTGAGTATTTATATCATGTTGTTGCGGACGGCGGGGTTAAGGTCTTTGAAAGAGGGACATGATGGATGCGAAATAGAACCCAAAATCAAAGTCACGAGCAATCCCCGTGGCAGTTGCGGAATGTTAATATCGGAACCGTCGCTTGAGAGTCTTTCAGTTTGCAGGCCAAATTTCATTCAATAGGGCGTCATGCACGACACGTGAATTTCCACGACAGACGGCCAAAACTTCTCCTCACATATGTCCGCTCAACGTACGTTCATGCAGAATCAAGATGCCATTTCAGAACCTCGTAACCGAAACCCTATGGAATCTCAGAAGAGCAAAAGGGTCCTTTTTTTTTTTACTTCCTTGCTCAAACATGTAAAACACCATGCCCATGCTCCAAGCCGCTCCTTTCATCCACGAACCAACAAACACGACCGCCCGTCCCAATCACCACCCTTACTCCGGTTCCGATCAGATTGTCCTTGGGCCTAGGCTCATATTATGAGCCGCCATTGCTGTTGTATGTTCTCAAAGGAGCGGGTGTTTTCAACGTCCGTGGTGGAAGAGGGGTAGGCCGGAGAGGTGGTGGAAGGGATCGGAAGGGATGCGGTCCCCATTTAGGCCTTCTCGGCAGTAGCGCCTCGAGCGCCCTTGGGGGTACCAGTCTGGAAACCGTTCTTGAATCGTCGGGACACATCCTTGAGGTAGCGAGTGCGGCCAGTACCGACGGTCTTTCTTCGCTTAGCCTTCTCGGACCAGTTGTCTGTCGACGCAGTCAGTAATGCTGTCCAAGAGCGTCGAACACTCAATGTCGGTTCATCGACGCCATCTGTGAGAAGTTCACGTACACTTGCGGATCTTGGCAGCAGGGTAGCCGCAAGAAGAGCACTCATGCTTCTGAACGTGAAGAGAGCGGCGACCTATTTGGGATCCCATCAGTATTTCCGTCCATCTTGATGTTTTTAAGCCTCGCCGTTCAGATATCCCTCGATTTCCGCCATCGTTTAATTTCGGCGTTTGCTATGTTTCGAATATCCGTTGCACAGATCGAGGGCTGTCTGACCAGCGAGACAAGAGGGCATAAGAACTAACCGCATCGTCGGCACAGGGTGTGCGTCTTGTTGTGACGCTTACCGAAGCTGGAGGTACCCTTCGCTGTTGAGACGCATTAGCAAAAACTCTTAATTAATCTCGGGAGAAGCATCGTCTGCTGTTGTTTCGCGAGCAGCTGACGAGCGGCGACATACTCATCTTGGCTGTGGTGTTTGGGCGGTTAGTTGAATGGCGATCGAGAATTTCTCAATTTGGGAGACCAATTTTGGCGGAGTGAATTTTGGCGGAAGGTGCGAGGTGGGATCATGTGATTAGTTCTTAGGGCAGGAGCGGATTTACGCTAGGTAGGGAAAGAGCAAGAATTGACAGTCACGTGCAGCTGTACCACCAAACTTAGCGTCTTTGAGGTGTACAACGGGTGTTGGGCGCTTTGAGCGTCTCGTGTCTTGCCTTTGAAAGCTTGGGAGGATAAATTGCATATAAGTCCTTTGCTGTAAGGTGCCAATGCACTGCCTAAATTAAGGTAAGGTAGGTGCCTCACAGATGCCATCTCCAGGTCTTATGAAAATTTTGCCAGAGGAAGGCGCAGAGTGGAGATGCCATCTACCTTAAGGAACTGGAGGTACCTATGCCATGAAAGAGGGAAGGAATAATACGATAGGCAGGAATATCCTGTTAGGCTACCTCGCTCTGTTTTTCTTCTCTTCTTCTTTTTCTTCCTTAGCCATCCTTGGTATGAGAAACGATAGTTGACTTTCTCATATTTCATCTTGGCTCTCTCTTCCCCTTAGATGAGATGCATATCCAATCTAGGGGAGGAAGGAAAATTCAGGATCTTCATCTTAAGGGATAAAAAGATTTAGATAATTTAGCCTAAGCTTAGGAGACTATTTGCTAAGTTTATTTTGGCACCTCTTCTAAAGTCTTTAGATTTTCTTGCTCCCCGAGGCTTCATGTGCAGTATCATCGAAATCCTCGCTTCCACTGATTGAGTCTTGTATAACAGTCACTTCATAAATGAAGCCCATTTCCTCTGAACGCCATCATGAATCTCAAATTTAATTCAAGGTACAGCTGTAATTCAAATGCACTTAAATTTCCACTTATGTTCAACCAGCTTCTTCCAAAAAGTCCATGAACATTAATCATCATTGAGGTATCTCGCACGTGTAGTAAGAAACATTGCCAAGCAACAAACAGCCTAGACCATAACGCCTCGAAATTCCTTCAGTTATCCAAGTCTTTCTTCCCAAAACCATATCCATGAACGACTGTTTATAAAATTGGTTACCTAGTTCCAAGTTGAAGGTCCAATAAACGAGCCCTTGGGAACCGTCTTGGAGACCGCCGTGGTCTTCCAGTCCATCGTCTCCAACGCGCCATAGTTACCCCACCAATTGGGGGGAGAAGCACTCGTCAGATACAAGGTGAAGAAAATCACCATCGTTGACATGATGAGACCACAATCCAGTGCCGCCGAAGTGACATAGTTGTACTGGAGCCACCAGCCCGTGTATCTTCTCTTAACGAAGCGGTTGAAGAAAGCACCGACCATGCCCCAGCACAGATAAATATATACAGAGGCTGGGGGCAACATACCAGCACCTCCGTAGATAAGAGGGGTACTGACGTATCGCCAGATTGAACGAGGCCACTTGCGGGCCAGCAGCCATGTGATGATTGGTGTCACAGCACCGACCAGCCAGAACCACTGGAGCGATGAGTAGATTGAGCCATGACTGAAGATACGCGCAGGTCCAATGGCCCCCCAGATCACAGAGGCTGTGTAGAAGACGCGACCACCTGGGCAGGTATAGTTGTTGGGCTGGTCGACCGCACAAACGTCAGGAATGTGTCCCAGTGCCCAGTTCATCACGCAAATCTGTACAATAGCCGACCAGATTGAGGCAACCAGTTGTGATGAAAACATGACTCTGGGAGGGACCTTCATGTAGTGACCAAGCTTGAGATCTTGCGCAAAGTAAAGTGCCTGGCCCATGCAGATGTAGCCGTAATTCTTGAACATCATCATGGCCATAGGGCGACCTGGAACCATGTAGCCAATGATGAACTCAGTCAGAACATTAAGACCAAGCTGGATATTGGTGATAGCCTGAACAACACCGATTGGGATCAACCACAGCACGGGAATAAGGAGGCAGATGAAGTACGCCCAGACGGGGAAGCCAGTTGGCCATCCAGCAATCACGCCAATGGAAATAGCAACCATAACAATGAAAAGAGCTGATGAGTGTCAGTATGAAAAGATATTGTGTTGGTGAGTGACACAAAACTTACTCGCATACCACCAATCCTCTGCATCTCGGTACTTCTTCATCAGTCGCATGTGAACGTCATCCTCCTGATTGCGGGCCAGCTTGAATTGTCTCCAGATCTCATGTCCATGGTAGAGCACAACGTGAACAACAACTGCTGTAACAGCTGCAAAGGACAGACCGTAAGAAAGGGCAAACTGCGTCGGTAGGAAGAGTGGCGAGTATTCCTTGTAGGCAGTTTCGTTGAACTGGAAGTTACTGTCGAGGATTCTTGTAACATTGTAGATGGCGCCTGTGTTGTCGTAGGACTCGGATGACTGGACTGGGAAGTAATCCGCATACCAGGTACCTGTAAAGTGTATGCCCATTGAAATGCAGATGAAGAAAACAATGATGCCCAGGAGAACGTTCGCGATGGCGTGGAAGGGAGGGATAAGAGGGGACTGTAGGTAACCGCTGTACACGGTCCAATCGAAGGATGTAGGCATCAAGCCATAGCCAGTCATGCCACCAAAAATCTTGTTGACTTTAACGTTGTGGGGTGCAAGCCAGCAAACCCAGGTGAAGTAAGAAAGACCTTTGAAGATCCAGCCTGGGAACCAATACCAAACAAAACCCCCAGCTCCAACGATCAAGAACCATCTATACCGTCCCATCTTCCAGCCATTGGTCTTGGTAGGGTCCGAGCCGGAGTGATCGTGAAGCGTATAGAACAGGGCACAATTGACCAAGTCAGTGGGCCAGATCATAGCAGCCGGCCACACCAGAAAGCGACGGGCAAGTCCAGCCAATCCATATCCAGTACAAAGAGTCGTGATGCCAAATAGGATCTGGAAAGCCCAGCCAAACTTTTGGCCGTAGAAGATTTGCTGCGCGAGGAGTACATCAGTTGCGTAGAGAACACCGCCACCGTACGCCGCCTATCTGAGTCAGTGATGCTTATTAGGAGGAGGAAAACTGTGCATACATTGGACATGGCGACAATTACGACATGCTCCTTGTAGTTGAATTTACCGGGCTTGAGGTTGAATTTGAGACCGAACAGGGTCCATTCTCGATCAGGCATGATCAGGTCCCAGCCAAGACCAAACGGATAGGCGACAAGTTGGACTACGTAGGTAGTGACTGTGACACTGGGGTTTCGCAACGAGAAGAGCATATTCACACCGGAACCAATGGTGCAAAGAATCAACCCGATAGTCCAGGCACGGATGGTATTGGCAGGGACATCAACATCGTAGTTTCGGACGACAGATCGGACTTCGGGATAGGGGCTGTTGTCCTCCATGAGCGCGTGCTCAATCTCAATCCCCTTCTCGGCATTTCCAGTCGCGATAGCGGCGTCGACATCTGTGAGGTCATCGATGGGCAGATTGGGATCGAACTTGTGGGACTTCTCGAACTGCTGTAGATTCTCGAGGTAATCACGACCGGAGGCGGAGACGGTCTCGAGAGGGCCGGGGATCGGAATAATATCCTCGGCCTCGTGGCGTTTGCGAAAGAGAGACGGCGCCATGATGATTGATACCCTTTGCTCGAGCAATGGATTGTTTCAGCGACAGCGAACCGACGTCGACGCGTGGTTTGAAGCCCGCTACGACAGCGACAACAACGGCCTTTGGTCTTGTGGTATTGAGAGACGATGTTGAAGCGAAGGAGAAAGCCGACAGCGGCTGCTGCTTTGCAGATGTGGTTATACAGACGACCTGAGACCAGTACGGGGGGGGGGGGGGTCTCTCAGCCCCAAGAACCAGGAGGGCCTAAGACTGAGGAGAAGTGTCGCTCCCCGCGAATCGCACATTGACACCACTCAATGCTGTACTCAGAGAACCGCCATAAAAACCTGGTGCTAGACGGCTTTTGGCTATAGTGCGAATGTTCGTGCAATGCTATCGCGGGCGACGGCACAATTGGATCTAGACCACCTTCTTGATCAGGCATGGGCTCGGGCTCAACCTTGTCGAATGCAGACTTCGATGGCCCCCTGTGGTTCCTCAGTCTGAAAATTCGGACCTTTTGTCGAAAAAGCAGCATATTTTAATTCGTTGGTATTCTTGTTCGATTCTTTCGAGGCGGCAATGTGCAGAGTCGCCAAGTGTTTTAAAACATTTCAGCGATCATAGTAGCTCGGCTCCTCTCGACTTCGGCTAGGTTTCCCTATCGCAACGACAGCCCAGTATGCCTAGGGCGCCCTGTTTGTCCTCGATGTCACATCAGGCATTGGCACGCAATTGTGTTATCTTACTCACCCAATGAAGATAGGCCCTGATGGCGTTCAAGCCTTCGGAGCGCTGCTTATCTCCAGCCTGTCCGGGGTTAGCCTCGGCCCACAAGATAAACCATGATGTACGTGAAAATACAGCGACTGGTGTGTGCGTGTTTCAACGCCCAGCCTGGCACTTTTGTCAACATAAACGGCTCGACCGGCTGTCAATCATGCTGAGAACGTCAAACGATGGTCAATTTCTTCCCTATCGTTAATCGATTCAGGGTCCAACCAGACTTCAATTACCTCCTGAACCATGATGCCGGGTTCAAGGTCCTAGAGCCGGAATCCTTCTGGAATCTTGAGGCTTGAAGGGTGGTGGAATCTACCAGACATGGATTATTCCAGGACTTGTGCTCGTTTCGTCCTTTCAACTTGCTCAGCAGATACAGCATGTCAAAAAGTCCAACCTCTAATTTGATTGTCCCACCGAATTGACCTAGAACTCAGTCTCTTGCAAAAGGTCCTTTGTGAAGGCAAAGATGGTTCCATTTACCTCTGATCAGCCTCCATCACGTGGCGAACTTTTGTGAACTTCTGCTCGGCTCATATCCACTGCAACCAGAAGTGATGGAACCTTTGATCAGACCACTAAAAGCTCTCGAAATCTCTGCCGGAAATTTCCAACTCAGGGTTTGTCGTAGTCAAGGGAAACTATGAGGTGGTTTCGGGCAAAACGATGGAGGGTTGAGGTCTTTTGTTCGCCAAAAGATATATTAAATTGAGTCTGGCTTAGTAGGTATTCATGGCGAACTGTACGGAGCACTCAGTAAAGGCCCACTGAATTCAACCACACCCGAGTTTCATGTGTAATTGAACTTTGACAGAATGAAGAGGTTTTCTTCTTCTGTCAACAATCACAAAGCTATCAGCAAATGTGCCTAAAGGATACAATTGCCGAAAAATATAGGTGTTATCATAAGTTGTTCTTTGGAAATCTTAGGTACACAAGCCATACACATGGAAGCCAATTCTATCGTTTTGTCATACCGTACATCTTGCCGATAATGTAAGGGAGTATTGGATCGCGATAAACTATTTCCAGCGTTTCATAAGTTGATACAAGGAGGCTTTCAAGTCAATTCAAGTTCCATATTCGAAGGCATGTAGTATGAACTACGACGTCCCCCCTCGGAAGCCAGTCACCACTGGCCATTGCCAAAGACCTGATGGAAATACAAGATGGATAGTCTTATTCTCTGTTGCTGATCCATCACGACTTCGCATCGAATATCTACATAGCGAAACTTTCCACGCCGTGTCAACATAACGGTAGTGATATGTACTTCGTTTGTCGTTGGCATTAACTCCGTCAGATTTCACACACACTCAAGCTGTCACTTTGTGTTTGATTCACATAGTGGCAGTTTGTGTGGAAGCCAACTCCAGCAGATGACGCATTGCTGCTGCCTACTAGGTAGGTATCTTCACTTCCATGTTCACAGCAGTGGAGGCTATCGTTTCCTTCCACTCCAGCCAACTCTACCTACCTAGGTAAGTTTTTAAATAAGGTAATTAAGATATAGGTAACCTCGCGGAAGCAATCGCGGGGTAGACATCTTGCAAGGTGCATCTAAACTTGTCACTCCCAACCCGACCGGCATCATGTCAGCAACACCAGGAGTTTCCTTCAGAAAGGATGGTACGAAGACATTCATTCCACTCGAAAACAATCCAGAAGTTTTCACTGAACTCATCCACGACCTGGGCGTTTCTGAGAAGCTCGCTTTCTACGACATCTACAGCATTGACGAACCTGAGCTGCTTGCCATGATCCCTCGTCCAGTTCATGCTCTAGTCTTCATCACTCCTGCACCTATGTGGGCGCGCGTTCGTGAGAATGACCCAGGTTCAAAGGAACTGAGTTACGATGGCTCTGGTCCAGACGAGCCAGTTGTGTGGTACAAACAAACTATAGGTCACGCTTGCGGTCTCATTGCTCTCCTTCACAGCGTGAGCAACGGCACAGCCAAGAACTTCATCAAAACAGACTCGATCCTCGATAAGATTCTGAAGGAAACACAAGATCTCAAGCCTCTCCAACGCGCCAATCATCTCTACAACTCGATAGATTTGGAGAAGGCTCACATGGCTGCTGCAGTGACTGGTGACACCATAGCCCCTGCGAGCGAAGAGCCTAGCGGATATCATTTCATCAGCTTCGTTAAGGGCCAAGATGGTCATTTATACGATCTCGAAGGAGGCTGGGGAGGTCCGGTTGATCGTGGCACATTGGATGAAGGTGATGATCTTCTCAGTAATAAGGCATTAGAAGTTACTGTCAAGAGATTTACTAAAGCTGCTGAGGGGAACCTTGAGTTCAGTATCATCGCACTGGCAACTGTTCCAGATGGCGCCTGAATATAGATCCCTGGAAACCGACTAGTCACAAGAAAGCAATGATATTAATCTTTTACGCGGAGTTTCTCCTGTACGGTGGGTATTTCCTATGTGCCTGACCTGAAGCATCAACTGATCTGACTGGGTTTTCTCCGTGACACTTAGATATTTCTAACCCTGCCTAAGTTCATATTGGAAGTCTTTCGGGATTGTGTATCTGGTCTTTGGTTCGGGTCTTTGGTTCTTAATATTTCACGACGGCTGTTGTGCAATGCTCGATAGAGCGAGTTGGTGCTTTCACAACTTGAATTTGTTACACCAGTCCAGTTCATAGATTCATGTGCCTACTTCTTACCTGTTTTTGTTTTCCAATGAGATGTTGGCCTACCCGTCATATGGACCATTCACGTCAGACAGTAAGTAACTCGTGAAGTAGACTAACCACAGAAGGCGTTCGAACGGTACATGATTAAATTGTGCGTATTCAGCAGCCCGTTGTTCACTGTCTTTAGAAGGTTTGCGTCCGACACTTCTCGAAGCTCTTTAGGGTTATGGTAGTGGTTTAATGTTGAAGGCTGAGGCAAAGAAATTATATTTCATGGTGTCGAGTTCTTGCTTTGGTTGATGGGATGGATATTCCCTCCGCCTGACACTGCCCAGACTGGATGGCGAGGTATCTATTCTCACCTAGCTAAACTGTATGTCGTTGAGATCAGATCATATCCTTCCTCATGCTTTGGATACAAGTTCAATGAGTCGGCTTGTCCTTCATTCTAGCAATTATTGTGACATGACTACCAGGTAGTGAGGGCATTCTTCAGCCTTCAACATACCTAGATAGCCAACATAGTCAACACAGTCAACATCCAGAAGGGTCTCTCATGCGACGGCCGTGGAGACTTCAGACCCGGGACTCCATTCTGCAAAGATGCACTCTGAACCAACATTGTAAATCTTTTGCTCCTCGACTTGAGGAACACTTATTTCAGAGTTCTCGGCTCTTGAAGACGACGCGTCGACTCAACGAGCAGAACTGCATCAGGCATAATCTTCAGTCATGACTGAGTGAACTCTTGAGTGCCTGGGTTCGCTCTTCTTTCGATAGGGATTCGGTATTTCAACATTTCATTGCATGTGTTCGTCTGTTAACTTCATCGTCGAACTCATGCATGAGTGTCCCGATCACCTTGTGAGCAACCATATCTTATAGATCGTAGTCCTAGCAGCAATTATTGTCTATTGTGTTGGCTTTTTTATTACACTCCCAGCAGGGGATTTGGTAAGATGGTGAATTCTGCGACGAGTTTTCAGAACGCGGTAGCACGCCTGTTACATATATTATCGGGCATGCAAGTAGCCGGTTGACACATTATGAATCACTCGCACGAGAGCCTTCAACCCTCCGAGTTCTGTCCTCTCTGTCCTACAGTAATATTCTAGGGCTTTCTCTAATTGTTCTTATCTTGCCGTTACTTATTCTGTTACTCAGATAGAGCATACAGTCTGTGTCTCATCGGTTGATTCACCGATAAGTGTAGCACCCCAAGCACGACAGGTGACTTGTTAATACGGAATATGGGCGCTCATGGTTTATATACTGTGGTCAGAGTTAACTTGTTAAAGACTCGATTTGCAACCCCTATAGACTATTCGTAGGACATTGCTGCCTCAAGCCCGGGGAGTCTCGTACAACGACGAGTGAGGCTCTTCGTTCGAATCGAAGACAATGTCTCAGCCTTTAGCTACTAGCATTCTTCATTCGACGGGTTACGATAAACTTGGGAGTGTAAAGAATAACCATGGTCTTGCACGAGGGCTTGCTAGGGGTCTGGTACCAGACTGAGCGACCATAATTGCAGTGAACAACCCAATGGTTCAGCTGGGAACAGGAGCATCCACATGCAACGCCT